TCATCTCAAATAGTATACCAGAGGGTCTCGCAGAATGGACATGGCCCAGTCTACACTTCCACAGCTAGCCTACTTCTTCGAGTGATTCATCTCAAATAGTATACCAGAGGGTCTCGCAGAATGGAAATGGCCCAGTCTACACTCCCTCAGCTAGCCCACTTCTTCGAGTGATTCATCTCAAATAGTATACCAGATGGTCTCGCAGAATGGACAGAGCCCAGTCTACACTCCCTCAGCTAGCCTACTTCTTCGAGTGATTCATCTCAAATAGTATACCAGAGGGTCTCGCAGAATGGACAGAGCCCAGTCTACACTCCCTCAGCTAGCCTACTTCTTCGAGTGATTCATCTCAAATAGTATACCAGATGGTCTCGCAGAATGGACAGAGCCCAGTCTACACTCCCTCAGCTAGCCTACTTCTTCGAGTGATTCATCTCAAATAGTATACCAGATGGTCTCGCAGAATGGACAGAGCCCAGTCTACACTCCCTCAGCTAGCCTACTTCTTCGAGTGATTCATCTCAAATAGTATACCAGAGGGTCTCGCAGAATGGACAGAGCCCAGTCTACACTCCCTCAGCTAGCCTACTTCTTCGAGTGATTCATCTCAAATAGTATACTAGAGGGTCTCGCAGAATGGACAGAGCCCAGTCTACACTCCCTCAGCTAGCCTACTTCTTCGAGTGATTCATCTCAAATAGTATACTAGAGGGTCTCGCAGAATGGACAGAGCCCAGTCTACACTCCCTCAGCTAGCCTACTTCTTCGAGTGATTCATCTCAAATAGTATACCAGAGGGTCTCGCAGAATGGACAGAGCCCAGTCTACACTCCCTCAGCTAGCCTACTTCTTCGAGTGATTCATCTCAAATAGTATACCAGAGGGTCTCGCAGAATGGACAGAGCCAAGTCTACACTCCCTCAGCTAGCCTACTTCTTCGAGTGATTCATCTCAAATAGTATACCAGAGGGTCTCGCAGAATGGACAGAGCCCAGTCTACACACCCTCAGCTAGCCTACTTCTTCGAGTGATTCATCTCAAATAGTATACTAGAGGGTCTCGCAGAATGGACAGAGCCCAGTCTACACTTCCTCAGCTAGCCTACTTCTTCGAGTGATTCATCTCAAATAGTATACCAGATGGTCTCGCAGAATGGACAGAGCCCAGTCTACACTCCCTCAGCTAGCCTACTTCTTCGAGTGATTCATCTCAAATAGTATACTAGAGGGTCTCGCAGAATGGACAGAGCCCAGTCTACACTCCCTCAGCTAGCCTACTTCTTCGAGTGATTCATCTCAAATAGTATACCAGAGGGTCTCGCAGAGGGGACATGGCCCAGTCTACACTCCCTCAGCTAGCCTACTTCTTCGAGTGATTCATCTCAAATAGTATACCAGAGGGTCTCGCAGAATGGACATGGCCCAGTCTACACTCCCTCAGCTAGCCCACTTCTTCGAGTGATCCATCTCAAATAGTATACCAGAGGGTCTCGCAGAATGGACATGGCCCAGTCTACACTCCCTCAGCTAGCCTACTTCTTCGAGTGATTCATCTCAAATAGTATACCAGAGGGTCTCGCAGAATGGACAGAGCCCAGTCTACACTCCCTCAGCTAGCCCACTTCTTCGAGTGATTCATCTCAAATAGTATACTAGAGGGTCTCGCAGAGTGGACATGGCCCAGTCTACACTCCCTCAGCTAGCCTACTTCTTCGAGTGATTCATCTCAAATAGTATACCAGAGGGTCTCGCAGAATGGACAGAGCCCAGTCTACACTCCCTCAGCTAGCCCACTTCTTCGAGTGATTCATCTCAAATAGTATACCAGAGGGTCTCGCAGAATGGACAGAGCCCAGTCTACACTCCCTCAGCTAGCCTACTTCTTCGAGTGATTCATCTCAAATAGTATACCAGAGGGTCTCGCAGAATGGACAGAGCCCAGTCTACACTCCCTCAGCTAGCCCACTTCTTCGAGTGATTCATCTCAAATAGTATACCAGAGGGTCTCGCAGAATGGACAGAGCCCAGTCTACACTCCCTCAGCTAGCCTACTTCTTCGAGTGATTCATCTCAAATAGTATACCAGAGGGTCTCGCAGAATGGACAGAGCCCAGTCTACACTCCCTCAGCTAGCCTACTTCTTCGAGTGATTCATCTCAAATAGTATACCAGAGGGTCTCGCAGAATGGACATGGCCCAGTCTACACTCCCTCAGCTAGCCCACTTCTTCGAGTGATTCATCTCAAATAGTATACCAGAGGGTCTCGCAGAATGGACATGGCCCAGTCTACACTCCCTCAGCTAGCCCACTTCTTCGAGTGATTCATCTCAAATAGTATACTAGAGGGTCTCGCAGAATGGACAGAGCCCAGTCTACACTCCCTCAGCTAGCCTACTTCTTCGAGTGCTTCATCTCAAATAGTATACCAGAGGGTCTCGCAGAATGGACAGAGCCCAGTCTACACTCCCTCAGCTAGCCTACTTCTTCGAGTGATTCATCTCAAATAGTATACCAGAGGGTCTCGCAGAATGGACAGAGCCCAGTCTACACTCCCTCAGCTAGCCCACTTCTTCGAGTGATTCATCTCAAATAGTATACCAGAGGGTCTCGCAGAATGGACAGAGCCCAGTCTACACTCCCTCAGCTAGCCTACTTCTTCGAGTGATTCATCTCAAATAGTATACCAGAGGGTCTCGCAGAATGGACAGAGCCCAGTCTACACTCCCTCAGCTAGCCTACTTCTTCGAGTGATTCATCTCAAATAGTATACCAGAGGGTCTCGCAGAATGGACAGAGCCCAGTCTACACTCCCTCAGCTAGCCTACTTCTTCGAGTGATTCATCTCAAATAGTATACCAGAGGGTCTCGCAGAATGGACAGAGCCCAGTCTACACTCCCTCAGCTAGCCCACTTCTTCGAGTGATTCATCTCAAATAGTATACCAGAGGGTCTCGCAGAATGGACAGAGCCCAGTCTACACTCCCTCAGCTAGCCTACTTCTTCGAGTGATTCATCTCAAATAGTATACCAGAGGGTCTCGCAGAATGGACAGAGCCCAGTCTACACTCCCTCAGCTAGCCCACTTCTTCGAGTGATTCATCTCAAATAGTATACCAGAGGGTCTCGCAGAATGGACAGAGCCCAGTCTACACTCCCTCAGCTAGCCCACTTCTTCGAGTGATTCATCTCAAATAGTATACCAGAGGGTCTCGCAGAATGGACAGAGCCCAGTCTACACTCCCTCAGCTAGCCCACTTCTTCGAGTGATTCATCTCAAATAGTATACCAGAGGGTCTCGCAGAATGGACAGAGCCCAGTCTACACTCCCTCAGCTAGCCCACTTCTTCGAGTGATTCATCTCAAATAGTATACCAGAGGGTCTCGCAGAATGGACAGAGCCCAGTCTACACTCCCTCAGCTAGCCCACTTCTTCGAGTGATTCATCTCAAATAGTATACCAGAGGGTCTCGCAGAATGGACAGAGCCCAGTCTACACTCCCTCAGCTAGCCTACTTCTTCGAGTGATTCATCTCAAATAGTATACCAGAGGGTCTCGCAGAATGGACAGAGCCCAGTCTACACTCCCTCAGCTAGCCCACTTCTTCGAGTGATTCATCTCAAATAGTATACCAGAGGGTCTCGCAGAATGGACAGAGCCCAGTCTACACTCCCTCAGCTAGCCCACTTCTTCGAGTGATTCATCTCAAATAGTATACCAGAGGGTCTCGCAGAATGGACAGAGCCCAGTCTACACTCCCTCAGCTAGCCCACTTCTTCGAGTGATTCATCTCAAATAGTATACCAGAGGGTCTCGCAGAATGGACAGAGCCCAGTCTACACTCCCTCAGCTAGCCCACTTCTTCGAGTGATTCATCTCAAATAGTATACCAGAGGGTCTCGCAGAATGGACAGAGCCCAGTCTACACTCCCTCAGCTAGCCTACTTCTTCGAGTGATTCATCTCAAATAGTATACCAGAGGGTCTCGCAGAATGGACAGAGCCCAGTCTACACTCCCTCAGCTAGCCCACTTCTTCGAGTGATTCATCTCAAATAGTATACCAGAGGGTCTCGCAGAATGGACAGAGCCCAGTCTACACTCCCTCAGCTAGCCCACTTCTTCGAGTGATTCATCTCAAATAGTATACCAGAGGGTCTCGCAGAATGGACAGAGCCCAGTCTACACTCCCTCAGCTAGCCCACTTCTTCGAGTGATTCATCTCAAATAGTATACCAGAGGGTCTCGCAGAATGGACAGAGCCCAGTCTACACTCCCTCAGCTAGCCTACTTCTTCGAGTGATTCATCTCAAATAGTATACCAGAGGGTCTCACAGAATGGACAGAGCCCAGTCTACACTCCCTCAGCTTTCTCAACCTCTAGCTACTCCCGCGCTGGCGTGGAGGAGATAATTATGGCAGTTTCAGGCCTGATAAGTGGCAATTTCTTATATGCATTGGTATCATTATCAATGCATTTGCAGACATGGTTCATGGAATAATGCTGAATTAGGGATTACTATCCCGGCGACGTTCAACCTGTGCTTTACTCGACAATCGACAACCGATGACACCATCCACCGCATGGATAAAAAATCTTTTTGAACAAGGCTTAGAGGACACCTTAACGCACCCTCGCATGGATAAAAAATCTTTTTGAACAAGGCTTAGAGGACACCTTAACGCACCCTCTTCTCAATTTTCTTTCTGGTTTTTCAGTCTGAAAACAGAGTGCATGTACCAACAGCAGAGTGTATATCTTTGTCCATGCATTTCTACGACAACCAGACGCAATCAACTGGGTCAATTTATGCGATAAACAAAGTTATCACCTTTGGAACAATTCAAACAAAAACTGACAAAACTTAAAAGCTCTGAAGCAAAATGAGGAATCTTACAAAATACAAAAGCTAGACAAAACTCCTTAAACTTTTACAGACAGACTTAAATGACAGACTTCTTAAGTTTTTAACTTGACAAATCATATCAAAGTTGAGTACAAACCGGGCGATGATGCACCTGCCCATCTCAAGTTAGTAGCTCTGTGAACTTCCACTATCAATCGTCCAGTATTGAAATTATAAGCGAGCCCCAGTAGTAGCGAGGGGGGACTCCTGTGAGCAGCCAGGGGGTTGTTGGCCGAGAGGGGGGATGAGTGGTGGTGGTGGTCGGGGGAGTAGTGCTCGTGGCCCTGCTCTTCGCTGGACTTGCGGGAGAGGGAGCTGGACCTGGAGGGTGTCTTATTGTGATGACCTCTGGCGGCGATGTTGGACATACACTCTTCCTCTTCCTCGTCTGCCGGCGCCTGAACAAGTTTCATTTTTTTCAAAATTATCAGGTCACCACAAAAGCTCATCTGTATAATGTATGTTATTATATGTTCGTGTGTTTTGTGAGCCTACAATGTAGGGAAGTTTTAATGCTATTTATTTTTCCGATGTTTCTGCCTCTAAAAAAGAGGTTTGAGGTAAGAAGCCAGCCTAGAAGTAACTACTAACTGAGTGATAATGTCTAATATTCGATGGTCAGAAAAACGGAGCAAATAGATCAGAGTTACATAAGACGACTATTGGCCACTTTTCGACAGATGGCACATGTGTTTTTTGTAGCCAAAATATCAGCTTATGTGACTCACAAATAGGTCTAGTGATATCGAACCTCCCCCTTCCCCTCCCCTCCGCTGCGACGAGTGGTGTGACCTAGAGTATGGCGAGGAGTAGTGACTGCTGCTGCTGCTGTCTTGAGGAAGGGGCAGGTCCTCTAGTCTGACCAGTCTCTGGCAGATGAGGACGCTCTTGGACAGAATAGACTCGCAGGAGTACACGCGGAATCGGAGAGACGTGTTCAAAATGTCGATCTAAGGAAGGAACAAAGTGAAATAATAATCATAATAATAATCATAATAAATTGTTTGCAATATAGATTACATTCATTGTAAAAAGTCACTACATTTACAACCAAACAAAATCTGATTGCGAGAACGCCGTGGAACTATGCAGCCCGTTTTCAGGCGCCTCTGATCCTGCTATGACTTCTGTTATTTTTTAATATCGATAGTTAATCAAGAAATCAAAAAAAAAGATTTAATGATTTAAAGAGGAAAAAAAATATTTAAGCGAAAAAAGGGGACAAATTTCAGCATTCACAGCAAATCGTTTTTTTTTTAAATACTAATTCTACTCAAAAATTTGTTTAAACAGTTGATAATTTCCTAGAATAAAATTGTCCAAAAACTCATGGTTGAAGATTTGTAATTGATATTGTGTGCAGCTCTGAATGTTAGTTACAAAATCTGGGTAGTATTTTAGAACAAAGTTGAAAAGTTTTCTAATTCTAACGTTTACAGAAGTTTTTTGATTACCTTTTGATTGCACAGGCATCTGCTAACTCTCTTATTCAAAATTGTATCCAAATTTTTCTCAGTTACAGCTTCCTGGACAATGGCCGATATGCACTCTTTTCTCAAAACCTTACAAAGTAACTTTAATAATTCATAGATATGTAATTCCTTTACGAAGTATATTTTGCGTTTATGTCTCAGTTCTTCGATGCTTTCGTTTCTTCTCTTTAAAAAAATAACTTTTAGAAGCCGTTTATTTTTAAGTTCAATTGTTTCTAATTTCATTTTGTCTGTTGACGCATAAGCCAAAACCCCATACTGTAAAAAGGGTTTCACATAAGCGTTATATGCTTTCAATAATTGATCTTTACCTAAAACTTTCCTCAACCTGTAATACATCCCGTAATACATTCCAGGAAAAACCCAGTGAAGCAAGAAAAAATAGTACTGTTACAATACTGTTGTTTTTTATCACTATTTTTGTCCTGGAACAGTACTGTAATTTTTTTTCTTCAAACTTTCGAATTGAATTCAAAGTTTTGTAACGTGTCGTTACAATCGAAGAAAAGGGGCTTTTATTCATCCCCACAGCTAAAGTCAACTCAGAACCGCCGGAAAACGCAAGCTTTGACTAAGCTTTGATAATTAGAAGGCTTGAACAACTAAATTTGCCTGGAAAGAGTAATTCTTGATTTAAAAAAATGCAATTTTGTTAAATCTTTTTTCTTCAATATTTTGATTCTTTCCCTCACAGCTAAAATCAGCTGAAACCCGCCGGGAAACACTGTTTTTTGCGAACAACGACTGGTGGAGACTGGATTCATCGTTCTGCGGGTGGTCTGCCCCGCGGGTGGTCTGTGTCGATGGCGCATTGACTAGAGGAACTGGACGAGTGCGTGGGTGGACTCGGAGATGACTTCTCAGATTCTGGTGCAGTGGAAATATCCTTCGGATGCTGACCCTCTTTGTCAGTTTGAGTAAAGTAGCAAAATTAACTGTAAACTTGAACTTTTAGATCACTTGCCTATTGTTGTTTGTATTTGCAATTTTTAGCGCTGTTTTTCAGGTTTTTCAGAGTTTTTTTTGCTTTTTTAGTTTTTATTTTTGCGATTTTTCAGTCATGTTACAGTGCTGATTTATCTCTGTAACAAGGCTGTTTTTTATCAATGATTTATCTCTAATCAGAGATAAATTACTGCTTTTTTTAACTGCAATAGTACTGATTTTCAGTGCAAGACCAATCCAGGGAAGCATAGTGGATTTGGGGACGCCATTGCCTCCTCAGGGATTTGCCCCTGCCACTTCCCAAATCCAAAACAAACTAGTTTGATTTTTTAGTCAAAACCTTCCTAAATCTTCGTTTTTGACATTTTGTTCTTGACAAAAATAAGCTTGCGGCGCAAAAAGTCTTCGGAAAATATGAACATTAGGGCGATTTGAGACAACCCGGAAAATCAACTCTTTGGCCTGAACAAAAGTTTCCAAGTTTTTGCAAATTAGGGGACTTTTTTGGAGCATGTGAAATGAATCAAATCAAATCGTCTTTTCGGGGACTTCCAATTTCTCCCTCCATTTCAAAAACCTAGAAAACAAAGACGATCTCGTTTTCATTACACATAGCTCATTGCTTGCCTCATTTCCGACAGCGAAAGAGAAGCTCTTCTTGAAGAGGATAGGGAACGTGTTTGCCTTGGCCACTGGGGTCTTGAACTTGAACTTCTTGTCAGGCAGGACCATTAGCGTGACTCTGGATCCCTCCTTGGCTATGTTGCACTCCTCCGAGGCCGACTGCAGGTCCAGAATCGAGACTGTCAACTGATCTTCGGTGCCTTCAGAGCACACCTAGAAAACAGAGCTCATTTTTTATGAGGTAAAAAAAAGTATATTAAACTTTTGCACACTCTGGGAGTGGAAATATTTTAAAACTTAAATTAAATTCAACAAAAAAGATAGACTGGAGGATATGATTCAACTGATGAAGTCTTTATGGTTTAAGGTTGACTTGGGCTGGTTTGTATATGGCCAAATTCGGTTTTATAAAGACTTGTGCTGACATGTCTTTTCCATGAGTTGGTGGTTTTTCCAGCTAGAGTTCAGTGACAATTTGATGTTCTGAAATCCAGCGACAAACTCGTTTTGGCCGTTAGACCGAGTTCATTCCAATTTTGCAGGAACCAAGATGCATTTTGCTTTCTCTCACTGGATTTCAGAGCTTTTCAATGGGTTCCAGGGTTTTATCGTTGGACTCCACACACTTTTTTGGGCTGATTTAAGAATTGTACAGCTGAGATTTTTGATTTGGAATTTAGAAAGAAGGGAAAACCCATTGTCTGCAAAATCCACTGACAAACCTTTAAACATAATCAATCGAAACGCAAATGTCTTGAAGTTTATTACGTAACTCGGTTATAATAATTGCAAACTTTGGGTTGTTAAAAGTCATTGAAGGAATCATTTCTTCTTTATTTCCTTTTAACCATTTTTGAGCAACTGGGACAACTCAGCAATTGAGAAGAAAAATGTTGAACTCGTTTCTCCCCTATAGCTTTTTCTCATGTACGTTCAGTAACTTAGACAAAAACTGAACAATTGAAACAACTGTCTCCTTTGTTGGATCGTTTTGGGCTTAATTGTCTCACTTAGGGCTGAAATCACGTGCTGCGAATTTTTTTTTGGCCACGAAATGAAATGAGGAGAAGAAACAGAAGTCGCTGAACACTTTTTTTAGTTTTGAGGGGTGGTATCTCTGCAAAAATCAAACAACGTTTTTTAGTGCTTGTTTGTAGGATTGGTGATAAGAAAACTTTTTCACCAATTTGAGATTTCGATTAAAAGTTACCTTGAGAGTTGAAAGCAGGATAGTGAAGGTTAATAGGTATTTTGTAGCATGGTATTCACTAATTGTTACAATAAGTAGAATAGACAATAAACGGTTGAGTCCAAAAAAAGTCCAAATCTTGAAAGAGTTAGTCCCTCCTCTGGTGAAATGTACATCACGGTACCGATATGAGGTAACCCCAAATGGAAAAAAAAATAAATAAAGAATGTATCTTTATGAAACTCTTAGGATCAAAACTAGAGTTGAATCGACCCGGGCATGCAAAGTTCTGAATCCCCCAACTCCCCTGACCCAAGTGATAACGGTTCCTGGAAGTGCTAATATCCGTTATAGAACTGGGAAAGTAGCGGTTGAAATTGAACCAAACTTTAGTATTTATAGACCTAGCGGAGGGAAGCTTAAGTTTGGAAACCCAGACCCCCTGGACCTCTTGAACCCCTAAATTAAATTTGGAAATGAGCTTTGATCACTTGACTTATAATTGGGAGATAATTTATCAATTGGGAACTTCAGCGGAAGTTGAAAGGGAGATACAATTTAAATCGTAACTTTGTAGTAATGGAGCTAAACAGCGTGGACTTGGCCAAAAAAGGGTTCAACTTAGCTCGGCAAACGCGCTATTATACAAGAAGACTAAAGAAAAGTAGTTCTGGAGGAAACTGGCAGTAATATGAACATAGAATTGGAAGTGGGTTTCCTAAATAACTTGAAAGGACGAGATAATCACTTAGCTCCCCAGATGTTACTCTTGAGTTTGATCTCTAAGAAACTTGTTAAGGTCCCTTCATAGCTAAAACGTCGGAATTTGAAAAGAGTATAGATCGGAAACTAGTATGCTTGGACTGAGTTACGGACCAATATCTCCCCAATCTCCAACCCATTAGAAGGTCGGAAGTTTCATGGGATTTTTAAATGAAAACATCAGGAGTTTGGTTATTTAAACCTAGCTTGATTTAGAGGTGAAACTGTACTTGATATTTGCAGAACTTAATTAGAGACACCTATAGTGAACTTAGAATTAGTGAAAGAACGATAAGAGCTATTGATGGGAGTAGTTGGTTATCTGTTTCTTAGAGAACAATTGGCATTGAGCTATAGTATAATTGGTTTTCGTAGTTAGAGAACAGAATCTGAGAAGGTTGGAGGAGAAATGCCCAGCTGAGAGACTCTGTACCTCAGTGAATGATTTAGCGAATGAGTGAATTGAATTAATCTAGGTTAGATTACGGGTAGTTAAATTTGAAATAGTTTCGGCGGGAACAATTGTTAGTTTGTTAGCTTAATTGATTGAACTCAACTTTAGCACTGGTATGTTTTTTGCGTGAACGAGTTGGGAAACCATGGCTAGTTTAGAATCGAGTCAAGTGATAACCGACGAGTGAGTTAGCGAAGCGATTGAACGGAATGAATTTCGGGCTTTGTTTTAGAAGTAGTTACTAGTTGCTAGCTCATTAAGAGCGCTTCGATTTCATTTTTTCTTTTTGCGATTGTAGAAAAAACTTTAATTACTGTGTCCACAATTTGCTGAAATAGCTAGAAAATCATGAAGGCGCCAACAAGAGCCTAATTCATGGGGAATATACATTATCCCTTGATCGGCCGATTGAGTCTCACCATCAACATAACCCTTTAGGGAATGTAGAGCACCTAGTATTAATGTCTCCTGCTATTACAAAGTGCAATACTACCTTGGCGCTCCTGGGTGTGCTCTCTTTATCGAGCAGCCACCAATCTTTGGATCCAGCATCGACGAGTGTTTTAGGAGGAGCTGACTAATCCACGACGAAGAAAATGAACCGGGACAGCCTAACACCAGAAGAAGTGTTCGTGTTCTTCAATGCGAGAATTGACAATGTGTTTCTGCTGGGAGCTGAGCTAAGAAGTGTAGGTCGTTCGAACAAGATCGACTACCCTGAATTTGGAGTAATGCACCCGAGAAAACAAATGAAAAACTAATGCGTCCAAGACAAGACGGTGCTGCCATTCATAGCTGAATGATCATGAAAATGGTGAAAGGGGCTATAACCATCGAAGAATTAGCAGTTATCGTCGTCGAGAACTTATTCAGACCTATATAATTTAGTCTAAGTACGTTAAAGAGGATATCCTAAATCAGGGAAGACTATCAGCGGCGCTGTTTTCATGCGGGTGATAATTCGGTGCTATTGCTGGAAGAGATCTCTCCCTCTTTGGACGAAAGCCGAATGTGTCAGGGTATGGCCCATCCGACGGTTACAGAGTACCAGCAGGAGAAATTGCTGCATTCAGACCCAATTGGGCTGACAAAATGCGAATTTTTGTCTGGCGGCAGATATTGCGGCGAAGCAGTGGATATTGTTATTGACAATACGTCAGAACGCAATTTGGATAAATCAGCGCGGAAATCAAATTTGAAAGCTTCGAGGAGCTGTTCACATTGATCGTCGACCGCAACTGCGTGCTTGACTTCGATGTGGTCGTCGGTTCGCATGAACTCAAAGGTTGTTATAGTCTATTTGTGAGCGACAAGAAATCAGCGATCTGCCGCGAGACCGATGCTATGCTGCCGATCCCAGTAAAAAATGGGAAACTTCCGAACACATGGCGAACCAATATCTCCCCAATCTCCAACCCATTAGAAGGTCGGAAGTTTCATGGGATTTTTAAATGAAAACATCAGGAGTTTGGTTATTTAAACCTAGCTTTATTTAGAGGTGAAACTGTACTTGATATTTGCAGAACTTAATTAGAGACACCTATAGTGAACTTAGAATTAGTGAAAGAACGATAAGAGCTATTGATGGGAGTAGTTGGTTATCTGTTTCTTAGAGAACAATTGGTATTGAGCTATAGTATAATTGGTTTTCGTAGTTAGAGAACAGAATCTGAGAAGGTTGGAGGAGAAATGCCCAGCTGAGAGACTCTGTACCTCAGTGAATGATTTAGCGAATGAGTGAATTGAATTAACCTAGGTTAGATTCCGGGTAGTTGTACTTGAAATAGTTTAGGCGGGAACAATTGTTAGTTTGTTAGCTTAATTGATTGAACTCAACTTTAGCACTGGTATGTTTTTTGCGTGAACGAGTTGGGAAACCATGGCTAGTTTAGAATCGAGTCAAGTGATAACCGACGAGTGAGTTAGCGAAGCGATTGAACGGAATGAATTTCGGGCTTTGTTTTAGAAGTAGTTACTAGTTGCTAGCTCATTAAGAGCGCTTCGATTTCATTTTTTCTTTTTGCGATCGTAGAAAAAACTTTATTTACTGTGTCCACAATTTGCTGAAATAGCTAGAAAATCAAGAAGGCGCCAACAAGAGCCTAATTCATGGGGAATATACATTATCCCTTGATCGGCCGATTGAGTCTCACCATCAACATAACCCTTTAGGGAATGTAGAACACCTAGTATTAGTGTCTCCTGCTATTACAAAGTGCAATACTACCTTGGCGCTCCTGGGTGTGCTCTCTTTATCGAGCAGCAACCAATCTTTTGATCCAGCATCGACGAGTGTTTTAGGAGGAGCTGACTAATCCACGACGAAGAAAATGAGCCGGGACAGCCTAACACCAGAAGAAGTGTTCGTGTTCTTCAATGCGAGAATTGACAATGTGTTTCTGCTGGGAGCTGAGCTAAGAAGTGTAGGTCGTTCGAACAAGATCGACTACCCTGAGTTTGGAGTAATGCACCCGAGAAAACAAATGAAAAACTAATGCGTCCAAGACAAGACGGTGCTGCCATTCATAGCTGAATGATCATGAAAATGGTGAAAGGGGCTATAACCATCGAAGAATTAGCAGTTATCGTCGTCGAGAACTTATTCAGACCTATATAATTTAGTCTAAGTACGTTAAAGAGGATATCCTAAATCAGGGAAGACTATCAGCGGCGCTGTTTTCATGCGGGTGATAATTCGGTGATATTGCTGGAAGAGATCTCTCCCTCTTTGGACGAAAGCCGAATGTGTCAGGGTATGGCCCATCCGACGGTTACAGAGTACCAGCAGGAGAAATTGCTGCATTCAGA